GAGGAGAGCCACAACGGAGAGGGTTAGGCGCTTCCCGCTTTCAACACCAATCAACAAACCTCCGAAGAGGGGGGTGTGGGGGCGCTCTCTATTTTCACACAAAGAACCAGGGGCCGCACAGGGGGTTGGGGTGCCGCACTCTTTTCACACACAGGGTCAGAGGGGGCGATCAGGGTTGGGGAGCTCCCCCCTATCAGGCACAGAGCAGGGCTGATCAGGGGGTTGGGGCGCTTTCCCCTGTCACGAACAGAACAGGGCAGATAGGGAGGTTGTGGCCCTGCCCCCTGTCACACACAGAGCCGCAGGGCGATCAGGGGGTTTGGGCTCTGCCCCCTGTCATGCTGATCCCGGTGCCGGGAGGTCTCACGGCTCTGCTGATCCCAGTGCTGGGAGGCATATTACCCTTTTACTATATAGGATAGAGGCCTGGTGCACAGGTGGGGGCTGGCTGGTTTGCCCTGAAGGGTGTCCTGGTCAGGGTGGGGGTCCCGCTTGGGTGCCTGGCCAGCCTGAGTGAGGGGCTGATGACTGTTTGCAGCTGGTCACATCCCCTTCAGGGTGTGGGTCCCCACTGGGTTGCCTGGCCAGTCTGGGTGAGGGGCTGAGGGCTGTTTTCAGGCTGGCGGGTGACTGAAGCATCCAACTGCTCCTTTTTTTCTTTTTCTTTTTTATTCTGGGCCAGCTTTAGCTCTGAGGCTTGGCTCCAGCTCTGAGGCCTCGGCTGCTGAAAGCAGGTATCTGGTTTGTTTGGGTTCTATAATCGAAACACTGTTTCAACTCCAGCTCTGAGATCCCAGCTGGCTGAAAGCAGGTTTCTGGGGTTTTGTTTAGCTTCTATATTTGTGACAATCTTTCAAACTGCAAGCTCAGAGACCCGCAGAGGCAGGCGGGGAACGTTGGCTTCCTCCGTCACTGAAGCAAGCAAGCCTCATGTTCGCTTCAAGCTGCCTGGCTGCTGGCCACCATCTTGGCTGGCAGTTAATTTGCATATCGCCCTGATTAGCCAATGGGAAGGGTAGTGGAGGTATGGCTAATTACCATGTTTCTCTTTTATTAGATAGGATATATTTAGCTCTAAAAATGTGAAAGCAATTCTATGTAAGCAAACAAGATTATCAAACTACATTTCTAAAAATTTTACTATATGTAGAGAAAATAGTTTATTGAGTTAAGTTAAAAGTAGTCTAATAGTGTAGAAATATCATTTATGTTTGTATTTGTTCCTTTAGAACTACCAGAAGAAAATCAAAAATCAAAATATGATAGATCTTTTCTTTTTCTTAAGGATACAGATGAGGTAGGTTTAATTTGTATGCTTATAATTACTTAATAGCAATTCAAATTAACCCAAATAATTTTGTATATATTTCTACCAGTCCCATATTCAAATGGGTTTTAGGATTCGAAAGCATAAGATTTTATGTCTGATATTATGGAAAACTTTATATTTGGAGATAATAGAGGAAATAATATATTATTTGTTGGACAATCAGTACAATAGAAGTTATTTATTAAATATGATAAGGACTAGCAGTTCCCATAAAGTTGGTTAAGACAGGGCATCATAATTTATACATGCATAACTTAAATATTTAATTTTAAATATGAAAATATATATGTATTTGTTAATCTTTTGATGTGTGCCAAGACCATTTTTGAGCATGCGATGGTTATTTAGATCATATAATTAAAATAATAACTACTATAACAGGTTTTCTTCTCAAGTCAATTTTCTTAATTTTTCTTTATGTTAAAGTTTCTCTGTTTGACTTTCATATCTGTAGTCTATTTCTCTCACAACTCTCCTTCACTATTCAAACTTGTCTTTTATACCAATAAATAGTAAATGTCCCCTGTTCTAAACATGCTGTTTTCTTGACCTTCTTATGAATACTCTGGGCTTCTTCTGAAACATCCTCATCTTCAAATCCTAGTATTAAGTTTTTCCTCATTGAGGAAATATTTTTGTCTGTTTTAGCCCTCACTGATATTCCTCTTTTCTTTTCTTTTTTTTAAAATATATTTTATTGGTTTTTTTTACAGAGAGGAAGGGAGAGGGATAGAGAGTTAGAAACATCGATGAGAGAGAAACATTGATCAGCTGCCTCCTGCACACCCCCTACTGGGGATATGCCCGCAACCAAGGTACATGCCCTTGACTGGAATCGAACCTGGGACCCTTCAGTCCGCAGGCCGACGCTCTATCCACTGAGCCAAACCAGTTAGGGCATTCCTCTTTTCTAAACTCCTCCTCATTTATTGATTAGTTTGGTTCTTAGTGATATTACTCTCCTACATTATTTACTAATGTTTCATGTATGCTAATCACATCTATCCAAAAAGAATGTGGAGCTCACGCTGGCCAGTGTGGCTCAGTCTGCTGGGCCATACATGAAAAGGTGGCAGGTTCAATTCCAGTTGGGGCACATATCCAGGTTTTGGGTTCAATTCCTGGTCAGGGTGCATTCTGGAGGCAACTGATCAATGTTTCTCTCTCTCTTTCTCCCTCCCTCTCTATCAAAATCTATTTTAAATTTTAAAAAAAAGGAATGTGAGGTCCTGGTGGCCTAGATTTTTATCATATGCTTATTTTTATCATATATTATCCAGAACTACATATATTCTGTGCCTAGTGTGAAAAACAATTGTGGGTGCTAAACACATATTTGGTTTGTTGATGAAGATTCATAAATTATACAGTTTATATTTACATATGCACATGTATGTTTTGTATATCTAGCTATGTGTATTTAAGTAAAAACATATGGAGCCAATCTGAGACCGTAATTTAGGAAAATCCGGATAATTTGTTCCAGTTTCTCCCCCTTTACTCAGGGCTATTTTGCTGTATTGACTCTATGTATGAGAAAGTAAAGCCTCTGTTTAAATTGAGAAGACTATTTGTTTCTCAGTATTTGAACTTTAGACTTTCCCTAGACTTGGCTAAATAAGTTTTATATGGATTTAAAGGCTAGGTTTTAAAGACAGAGAAAGTAAAAATTAGTAAAAGTGTGAGCATGGGTAAGTTTTTAAATTTCTGTACATTGGTTTCCTTACCTATAAATGGCAATAACACCCATCTCATGGGGTTTTTTTTTTTTTGAGAATTAAATAAACATATTTTAAAGTATTTAAAGAACTAGACAACTATTAGTTATCATAATTAGATATTCCAAAGGTGAATAAGCAAGTATAAATTATCAATATACACATGGAAAGAAACTATTTCTAAAACAGTTTTCCTTTTTTGTTTTTTGAATTTTAGGTAGACTATGGTAAGCCCTTACAGTATCTATTTTCACCGCATAAACAAGAATATAAAAGAACATTGGGTTCTACAATCTCTTCTCCTATGCCCAGCATTCAATCTAATGCTTATAAGAAGAAAAAAGTTGCTACTTTATTTGAAGGTATACACATTGTGTGTTTATGTTGAAATAACTGAAAATTAACTGCACCTAACTTTTAGGCATAACCACCCTTGTCAGTGTGGCTCAGTTGGTCTCACTATCTCCCATCCCTTTCTATAAAATAATCAATGACTGTGTCCTTGGGTGAGGATTTTCTTTTTAATTTAAAAAATTAAGAAAATCTGCCTAACCACTGTGGCTCAGTGGTTGAGCATTGACCTATGAACCAGGAGGTCATGGTTGATTCCTGGTCAGGGTTGTGAACTCAATCCCCAGTAGGGGGCATGCAGGAGGCAACCAACCAATGATTCTCTCCCATCATTGATGTCTCTATCCCTCTCCCCCTTTCCCTTCCTCTCTCTGAAATCAATTATATATATTAGAGGCCCGGTGCACGAAATTTGTGCACTTGGGGGTGGGGGTTGTCCCTCAGCCTGGCCTGCACCCTCTCACAGTCTGGGAGCCCCACAAATGATCGCCCCAAAGAGGTAGGCCCTGCCGCCAGCCGGGTAGCCTGGGCCTCCCTCTTTGTGGCAAGCGTGGAGCCCCCTGATTGATGGACCGCTCCACTGGCCAAGGCCTGGGCCTCCCTCTGCAGGGCAATCATCGAGCAATGGCCAGGTCCCCGACCAATCACATCGTACCCGCCTTGGCTGGCCTAGCGCCAGTGAGTGTCATAGCGTGGTCATCTATGGTTGTTCTGCTATTCAGCCATTTGGTCAGTTTGCATATTACCCTTTTATTATTATAGACTAGAGGCCCAGTGCACAAAAATTGTCCACTCAGGGGCGTCCCTCAGCCCGGCCTGTGCCCTCTCACAGTCTAGGACCCCTCAGGGGATGTCCACCTGCTGGCTTAGGCCCGCTCCCTGGGGGATTGGGCCTAAGCTGGCAGTCAGACATCCCTCTGGCAGCCCGGGAGCCCTCGGGGGATGTCCACTTGCCAGCACGGAGCAGGCCTAAGCTGCAGTTGGACATCCTTAACACTGCTGAGGAGGCAGGAGAGGCTCCCACCACCACCACTGTACTGACAGCTGTCAGCCTGGCTTGTGGCTGAGCAGAGCTCCCCCTGTGGGAGCGCACTGACTACCAGGGGGCAGCTCCTGCATTGAGCATCTACCCCCTGGTGGTCAGTGTGTGTCATAGTGACCAGTCATTCCCAGTCATTCTGCTGTTAGGGTCAATTTGCATATTACCCTTTTATTATATAGGAGTGCCTGGCCAGCCTGGGTGAGGGGCTGATGGGTGTTTGCAGGCTGGCCACAGCCCCTTCACTTGAGGGGGGCCCACTGGGGTGCCTTGCCATCCTTGGTGAGGGGCTGAGGGCCGTTTGCAGGCTGGCTAAGTCCCCCAGCAGGGATCCTCACCCCATGAGGGTGTGGCCATCCTAGGTGAGGGGCCGATGGCTGTTTGCAGGCTGGCCACGGCCCCCAGCCACCCAAGCTCCCAGTGGAGGCCAGCTGGAAGCAGGTATCTGGGATTTATTTAGCTTCTATAATTGAAACTTTGTTGCCATGAGTAGAGGCCACAGCCAGCTCAAGGCAGGCAGGAAGCTTGGCTTCCTCCATCGCCCGGGCAACCAAGCCTCCTGCTTGCTCCAGCTCTGTGGCTGCTGGCTGCCATCTTGGTTGGGTTAATTTGAATATAGTTGCTCTGATTGGCTGGTGGGCATGGCTTGGGGCATGGCGAAGGTACGGTCAATTAGCATCTTTGTCTTTTATTAGATTATATAAATCCTATATAATAAAAGAAACATGCAAATTAACCATCCCTCCACTATACTCAAACCATGCCCACAAGCCACGCCCACCAGCCAATCAGGAGTGAGTATGCAAATTAACCCAACTAAGATGGCAGTGGCCACGGACCTGGAGTGAGAAAGAGGCTTGGGTTGCCCCCGGCAATGGGAGGAAGCCAAGCTTCCCACCTGCCCTGGCCGGCCCTGGGCTACGCTCAAGGCTACAAAGTTTCAATTATAGAAGATAAATAAATCCCAGAGAAAAGAAAGAAAAAAGGCAGAAGCTGGGAGCTTGGGTCACCAGGGGACGTGGCCAGCCTGAAAACGGCCCTCAGCCCCTCACCCAGGCTGGCCAGACACCGTAGTAGGAACCCCCACCCTCAAGGAGGTGTGGCCAGCCTGAAAATGACCATCATCTCCTCACTCAGGCTAGCCAGGCACCCTAGTAGGAACCCCCACCCTGAAGGGGGTGTGGCCAGCCTGAAAACAGCCCTCAGCCCCTCACCCAGGCTGGCCACACCCCCATGGGGGTGAGGGTCCCCACTGGGGGGCTTTGCCAGCCTGTAAACACCCATCAGCCCCTCACCCAGGCTGGCCAGGGACTCCCACCCTGATCCAGGACACCCTTCAGGGCAAACCAGCTGGCCCCCAGCTGTGCACCAGGCCTCTATCCTATAGAATAAAAGGGTAATATGCAAATTGACCTCAACAGTAGAACGACTAGGAATGATTGGTCACTATGACACACATTGACCACAAGGGGGCAGATGCTCAATGCAGGAGCTGCCCCCTGGTGGTCAGTGTGCTCCCATAAGGGGAGCTCTGCTCAGCCACAAGCCAGGCTGACGGCTACCAGTACAGCGGTGGTGGTGGGAGCCTCTCCCGCCTCCTCAGCAGCGCTAAGGATGTCCGACTGCAGCTTAGGCCTGCTCCGTGCTGGCAAGTGGACATCCCCCGAGGGCTCCAGGCTGCCAGAGGGATGTCTGACTGCCAGCTTAGGCCCAATCCCCCAGGGAGCGGGCCTAAGCCAGCAGGTGGACATCCCCTGAGGGGTCCTAGACTGTGAGAGGGCACAGGCAGGGCTGAGGGACCCTTCCAAGTGCACAAATTTTTTTTTGCTGGGCCTCTAGTGTGTGTGTGTGTGTGTGTGTGTGTGTGTGTATATATGTGTATATATATATAATTTTTTTTTAATCCTCACCTGAGGATATTTTTTCCATTGATTTCGAGAGAAACATCAACACATCAACGTGAGAAAGACACATTGATTGGCGTGCCCCTAATGGGGCTGGGGAACCTGCAACCAAGATAAATGTCCTTGACTGGGAATCGAACCTAAGACCCTTTGGTCTATGGGCCAGTGCTCTAACCTTCTAACCTCTGAACTAAACCAGCCAGGGCAATAAAAACATATTTAAAAATAAGTGAATAAAATAAAAGGGGACATCTGTAATATTTTCAACAGTAAAGATAAATTTTTTTAAAAAGAAGTTTTTACTGAGTAACTACTACAGATAAGGCACTATACCTGGTGTTTTTCTGTATGTCATTTTATATTGTAAAATATTTTTATAAGATATTTTCTGAATTCCATAATATGTATTGTGCCTTTTATGGCAATTTTTTATAATTTCAGGTCAAACTGAAAAAAAACCTGGGGAATCATTTGATATGGTTGCTCACTTAGAAGATTATGTAAATGAAAGGTAATTTATTTTAAATTTTTAACTATTTCATTCTGTTCAAAGATGTTTCTAATAGGAAAAGGTTCTGCTTTTATTTTCTAGTAGACCAGAATGAATTTATTCTGGCTTATGACTATTTAGGCTCATACTACAATCCAATGGCTGATCCTTGACTGCTCAGCTAGTCAGCATTATATGCGGACCTTGAACACATGTTCTATCTGCTGCAAGTTTACAGTCAAATGGAGAGAAAGACATGGTAAAATGAGTTTAGAGATTACAATAGTTGAGATTCCTCAAACTCTGTGTAATGAAAAAAAATCATATTAATCCAGCGTGCTTTAAAATTTGTTTGGAGCAATAATATTTAGTCTCTTTAGGTTTACCTCCGTCCTCCTCTTTCTTTCTAAGATTGTATCTGAGTAGATGAGTGAGGGGCTCACTGGACTTTGTGACTGAGGAGAGGTCCTTGACCAAGGGTCTTTGTCAATGTCCTTGTACTGCTGGTCTCATTCCTAGATGTGCTGTGACTGCTGCTATCTCTGGTTCATGTACTGGTACATATGGTCTATTCTCTCTGAATTTAGATAGGGTCCACTCTTACTGCTCATCAGTATGGTAGGACTTTCTGAGTCTCTTCCATCTCCTTCATCTGCTCTGCGATTGTCCAGCACGTATGCCAAGCCTTTGCTATGGGTTACCTCATCCTTGCAATGGCAAGCTCCTTGGCAAGTCTAAACTCAGTGTCCATGTCACTTGTGAACCAAGGGAGAGCTAACATGAAAATTATATCCTCTCTGCCTAACCCCGCTATTCCATCCTGTTAAAAAGCTGGGGCCACCTTATGTTGGCAGGAAGCTGCCCTGCAAAGCACTTTCTCCCAGAATCTCAACAAAGCATGTGGAAATACCTCTCCACCTTTGGTGTTCTCAACCTACATAACATTCCTTCCCCCACTGAAAAACCAAAGAGGCACACAGATTACTGTCTTGCTTCCACCACCACTTTTGCTGTCCCCTCCTCCCCCTCTTCTCCTCCCCCAAACCAGGCAGGAAGCCATCTCTTGTCTGATCTATGGCAAAGGATTTGGGGGAGATGTGGGCAGTGACTTTGAGAAATTGGGGCAGACAAAAACTGGCAAGCTGAAATCAGCCCTACAGACATTTATACTGAACTTGTGTTCATTTTCAGAAGAAAATCTCCTCCACAGATGAATGATTTTTGTACAAAAGAAAATAAACCTGTCAGAATTGATCCATTAAGTGAGTCTCATGCAGTAGGAAAGAAAAGCTTGCTCCCTTTATGCTTTGAGGATGAATTGAAAAATCCAGATGCCAAGATAATCAACATCAGTCCGGCAAAGACAGGAACTGATCACAAGGTAACAGTTTACTGCTGTTCAGTAAACGTGTGTATTCCACGACTTGTGGGAATATCATGTTCTAGTGACCAGAATCTTTGGTAAATTCTTCTTTTGGTTTCACACACTTAAAGTCCTAATGCTCTTTTTGAAACCGTCACCCCCAAACTGGGGGTTCCTTTGCACCAGCTGAACATTCCGCATGTTTTTAAATGAAGAAGGCTTTATCAAATTTTCTTGATTGTAAGGAAATATGAAATAAAAATGGTATTTAAAAAAATGGATCATGCATCACTTTTCTATCAAACTACTTCAGCTATTTCAACCAGAAAGTCCACTTATTAAAGGCTATTTGGTAGCTCACAGAGTCTCAGGAAGGCTGAAAGCTGTCCAATCAGAAGCCACCAAGTTATAGCCTCAGACTGCTCCACTGGGGCCCATGCTATTGTCACAGATGACAGTTAACAACTCTGATCCTGGGCAGGGAACACTATTTCTAAGACCCTTGCCACTGCTGCCCTTCAAAGCTATATATACCCATCACCATCCTCACTAAAATAGTTTTAACTATTTTTTCAGAGTCCTTGCTTTTTCTTAATTAAAGAATTGTCTTTGATATATCTTACTGGAAGAGCCCAGGTCACATGCCTATGCCCTAACCTCAAGAGAGGCTGATACAGCCTGCTTCTCCTTAAAGGTACATAGATTTGAAAGGTGAAAAATTCCTAAGGTATTGGACAGAACAAAAATATGACACATCTCCACTACTGTGGTTAAGTGGATAACATTGGCATCACCAATGGATTGCAAAACTCAATCTTCTGTCATTTTGGGGGAAATCATAGGCATTAACATGTCTTTAAACTAAGTATACTAATATATAATTAGATAGATCTTAGCGTCTTATTTTATTAACTAGAGGCCTGGTGCATGAGATTTGTGAACTTGGAGGGGCCCCTCAGCCCAGCCTGCGCCCTCTTGCAGTCCAGGAGCCCTTGGGGGATGTCCGACTGATGGCTTAGGCCTGCTCCCCAGCAGTTGAACATCCTTAGTACTGCCTTGGAGGTGGGAGAGGCTCCCGCCACTGCCACTGCACTTGCCAGCTGTAAGCCTGGCTTCTGGCTGAGTGGCGCTCCTGCTGTGGGAGAGCACTGACCACCAGGGGGCAGCTCCTGCATTGAACGTCTTCCCCCTGGTGGTCGATGTACATCATAGCGACCAGTCGTTCTGCCCTTCAGTCCATTTGCATATTAGCCTTTTATTATATAGGATTATACTAGAGGGCCGGTACACAGATTCGTGTACTAGTGGGGCCTCCAGGGATCAGGCCGAAACTGGCTCTCTGACATCCCCCGAGGGGTCCCAGGTTGTGAGAGGGTGCAGGCTAGGCCGAGGGACCCCACCGGTGCATGATCGGAGCCGGGGAGGGACTGTGGGAGCACTCCAGAGTGTGTCTGGCCTGCTTCACCCAGGCCTGATCAGCTGGACCCCAGCAGCAAGCTAACCTACCAGTTGGAGCATATATTCCCTAGTGGTCAGTGCGCATCATAGTAACTAGTCAAATGGTTGAACGTCAGACACTTAGCATATTAGGCTTTTATTATATAGGATATCTAAAGAAAAAGTAGCAGTCATTGTAAACTAAACACTGATAATATTTATACTTAAAAGTTTTTTTGGAGTTAATTTTTTTGCTCTAGAAATGTGTGGAAGAGATTCATGAGAAGCTCATACATACACATTTTGCTATTACTGTAATAAAAATAGTCTATTTTAAAGTCAATCTACCACTTTGGCTACTTTATACTGCAGATATATATTGGGCACTTTTTATGTGTTAAGTATTGGGGCACAATAAAAAATAGAACCGTTGTAAAGATAATTTTAGATTTTCTGAATTATTTACTAGAATATCCAGACTTTGCAATTTGTGTTTGTAATCAGTTATATCTCTTATGACCTTTGACTCAATCCATTTTTTTATATGCTTCTTAATTCTGGACATGGAAACCTAAGAAATGTCAAAATGATGTTTTATTCTATCAATAGCCCACCTTATTTATAAAAGGGTTTTAGAAGGCCCAAAGTTCAGATTTTTAACCCTAACATCCTGATAAAATATTAAGAAGAGAAAGAAGTATGTCACATACAAGTACTTGTTTTTGGGTGTGCGCGTTTGAATATCACTATCATTCATATTTAAAACTTCTATGTATCTTTTTTGAATATTTTATTTTGTTTAAAAATATATGTAGCCATCTTGCCTCAATAGACTGATGACTAAGTACTCTTTTCTTTGATTCACAGGAACAAAATTACACAAATCCCATAATTTTTCATGAGACTAGATGTGTACAAATGTTTCTTTTGACAAAAAATAGGCTTCTGCTCCATCCTATGGAAAATAGAAACACTGGCCCACGCAAAAGAGTACATTTTGCTTTAGAAAGAAATGAAATTTTCGAACCTGGAATTAATAATCAAGTTATTACTTCTACCAAACCTAAAAAAATCATGCCTTCAGCATGGAGGAAGCGTATGCAGGCAATATCTTTTGCAGTGTATCACAGAGTTGTAGAAGATAAACTAAAGAAGAAAACTACTATGCAAACACCCAAAAACATATCTGAGAAATCCTATAATTTCTCAGAGCCTCTTTCCAGCCTAACAAAAAAATGTGTAGATTTCCTTGGTAAAACTGTCATTCAAGAAACAAGTGCTAAAATTGGCAAATTGGAAAGACTGTTGTTCACAGTAACACCAACGAGCAAATTCAGTGCTTCACCTGTCAAATGTTGCTCAAAGCCTTTAAAACACATACTCCAGGTCCACAAAATACCGACTGTAACTCCACTGGATAATTTGTTAACCTTTTCAAGTGAAAATTAAATGCCTCGTAAAATATTGTTTACCGTAATACTTGGGTAACAAGAAGCAAAGAACAAAGTTTCAAGATCATAGAAGAAATTCTTGTTGAAATAGTAATGTTCTAATGGATGGCATAAGAAAGCAGAGCATAAAAATTGGAGTTATAAATCAATAGACCTCTGTTTAAAAAAATCAATGTTTTTACAAGAAAAAAAGAACAAAATTAGGAAATAAGTATCAACAAGGGGAATTAGTTCATGAATTTCTATCACCCCAATTTGGTCCTCAATCACCAGCATTCCTACAGTAAAATTTGATTTGGACCAAGAATGTCAGACTGATTCTGGAAATTCACTATTAGAAGCCAAATAACATCGATAACTTTGCTCTATAATTGAATAAAAAATAAAATAAATGTACCATTAACTTGATGTATTTGGAATTAATCATATCAGCATTGTAGATAATCATTGAAAAATATTTTACATTAGCAATTTGTGCAATTATAAAGGCTTTGTAAATTTTTCTGCTGGCTCAGAAAATAAAACACAAATTCTTTTTAATTACTAACAATAAAAATAAAAAGAAATAGAAAATATACCTAATAATACACAGTAATGATGGTTGTTTTTTGTTTGTTTTCTGATATTCAGTATCAGATAAACAACTGTGCACCTTGGGTTCGGGCAGATGTGAATGAACTTGGGAAAACAAAGTAAACTATCTGAGCCTCACTTTACTGTATCCCCTCCTTAAGATGGGATAGCCATGTCTTATTACAGTGTTATTTTCAGGATTAAAAAATAATGTGAAGTACTTTGGGTATGGTAAACGTTCATTAAAGACTCCTTTCCTATTCCTACCCTTTCCCCTGCTCTTCATGTAAGTATAACATCTTAAAAGAACTTCCTCCAAGTCTCTTAATTCAATCTTTTCTAAAATCTAATTGCAGTTTTTAGACTATTGTCTAAAGTAGACTCAAATGAAAGCTGAGGATTTTTGTATTAGTTATTTTTGGCTGTATCTGTTTGAGTTGGTGAGCTTTACCCTTTAGGAAGGCACTCAGTCAACTTAAAAACTCCATTTTGCTGAGGATTCTCCATTAAAACAGCTGGACAGTTGGGAGCAGTGGATTCTGGGAAGAGGGTGACCTAAACTCAACACCTTTCTTTTCTTCTCTCAACTTAAGCCTGCCATCTCCTAAACCAAACAGCTGCTGGAATCTTTAAGCAGTGGGTTGCAAGGTTAGACATGGTTTCCATTCTGATGCTGAAATCTGAGTATGGTTTTTGGAGACCAGTCTCTGAGTCACAAGGCAATGATGGGGGTTGTGTTATATCCTGGGACTAGCTGTCCAGCTGAGCTCTGTAGAAATAAAAATTCTATCTTATAAAAAGGGAATATGCTAATTGACCATCATAACATCACAAAGATGGTGGCCCCCACAGCCAATAAGGAGGGAATATGCTAATTGACTGCCCTGCCCTCAAAGATGGCAGTGCCCACAGCCACAAGATGGCCAGTAGGGGAGGGCAATTGGGGGGACCAGGACTGCAGGGGAGGGCAGTTGGGGGCAACCAGGCCAGCAGGGGAGGGCAGTTGTGGGTGATTGGGTTGGCAGGGAGTGGTTAGAAGCAATTAGACAGGCAGGCAGGTGAGTGGTTGGGAGCCAGCAGTCCCGAATTGTGAGAGGGATGTCCAACTGCCAGGCAGGTGAGTGGTTGGGAGCCAGCAGTCCCGAATTGTGAGAGGGATGTCCAACTGCCAGTTTAGGCCCGATTCCTACACACTGGGCCTCTAGTGTAGTATAAAATGACAGCCCTGGATGGTGTGGCTCAGTTGGTTGAGCATTATTCCATGCACCAAGAGGTTCCCGGTTTGATTCCCATCAGGGCACATACTCAGGCTGCAGGTTCCATCCATAGTTGAAGATGTGCAGGAGGCAGCCAATCCATGTTTCTCTCTCTCCCTGCCCCTTCCTCTGGTAAGTGAATATGCTAATAAATGCAAAAAAATGGTTAATATCTTTAGGGAAGTGGTTCTCAACCTTCTGGCCATTTAAATACAGCTCTTCATGTTGTGACCCAACCATAAAATTATTTTCGTTGCTACTTCATAACTGTAATGTTGCTACTGTTATGAATCATAATGTAAATATCTGATATGCAGGATGGTCTTAGGCGACCCTGTGAAAGGGTCATTTGACCACCAAAGGGGTCATGACCCACAGGTTGAGAACTGCTGCTATAGGGAAAAAATTTAAAACTTCAGGAGTATCTTTTCTACCAGAATAAAAATCAATTTATTTGCATCGCTATGAACAAGGGTCATTGCATTACAATTGGTTTTCTACAAGTTAACCCATTCTAAATAGAAAGTCAATCAATCATTAATGCATCAAGGACCCATTCAACAATCCCCAGCATTCCACTGAAGGGACATACAGTAGCTATCTATCTTTGTTCTACCATTAGATAATTTTTTAATTATGTATTGGTTTCAGGTGTACAGCTTAGTGGTTAGATAATCATATACTTTACATAGTGTTCCCCTTGATATTTCCAGTACCCCAACTAGCACCACATAGATATAACTGTATTATTTACTATATTTCCTATGCTTTACTTACTTCCCTGTGACTATTTTGTAACTACCAATTTGTACTTCTTGGTTCCTTCACCTCTTTGACCCAATGCCCCAAAACCCTTCCCCTCTGGCAATCACCAGTTCTCTCTCCATAGCTACCAAGTCTGTTTTAATTCTGTTTGCACATTTATTTTGTTCTTTAGATTCCCCATGTAAGAGAAATCATATGGTATTTGTCTTTCTCTGACTGACTTATTTCATTGAGCATAAAATCCTCTAAGTCCATCCATGCTGTCACAAATGGTAAGAGTTCATTCCTTTTTATGGTCACACTAGTGGTCTGGCACACAAACTCATGCACATTGAAAGGAAATTAGTCAGAAGAAATACTTTAATATTGCTATTCGCACTTTCTCTATAATAGAAGTGTCAACCAAATTCACGATCGACAATGACAGATGGAAACACACGCATGTGATTGGCACCAGCGAGAGCTTTATATGTATCATGCATGTGCGAGTCAACTTAGCCTTTTATACATATAGAATAAACCTGCTTAATTAGGCCTGCTTTCCGATTTAGCTAAACTAACTAACTTCTCTTTCAGGTAATTGTCAGCAACACAGCGGTAAATATCAACACAAAACAGATTATTATTGTAAATCACGCAGGAAGAACAAAGGGTAAAATATTTAACTGCAGCAGTGTTTGACTATATTCTGCACAGTGAGAAAACCTGAAGTCATTTTCAAGGTTCACATTTCTTACTTCTTTTCAGTCGGGTCAAGTTTCTAAACTTTCTAAATCTTTGTTTTCTGGCCAATGAAAAGAAAATAGGATTCCACCGAGTCTCCTATCTACCTACTTCAGAACTTCTGTGAGGATCAAATGAGATGAGACATGGGAAAACGCTTCACAGACATTTGGTTAAAGTGTGAAAGCTTCCACCTGGCTATAAAGCAAGTCATATTCCTGGGCTGAAGAAACTGCAAGGAGTCTAGTCGTCCCTAGGGAGAGGAAGCCGGGTGTTGCTATGTGACATCATTACCCGGACAGGGGAAAGGACACTTAGCATATTAGCCTTTTATATATATACTAGAGGCCGGGTGCACAAAAATTTGTGCACTCGGGAGGTCCCTCAGCCCGGCCTATGCCCTCTTGCAGTCTGGGACCCATTAGAGGATGTTCACCTGCTGGCTTAGGCCTGCTCCCTGGGGGATCGGTCCCAAGCTGGCAGTCAGACATCCCTCTGGCAGCCCGGGAGCCCTCGGGGGATGTCCACTTGCCAGAAGGGAGCAGGCCTAAGCTGCAGTTGGACATCCTTAGTGCTGCTGAGGAGGCAGGAGAGGCTCCCATCACCACTGCTATGCTGGCAGCCCTCAACCTGGCTTGTGGCTGAGCAGAGCTCCCCTTATGAAAGCGCACAGACCACCAGGGGGCAGCTCCTGCATTGAGCGTCTGCCCCCTGGTGGTCAGTGTGTGTCATAGTAACCAGTCATTCCCATTCATTCTGTTGTTAGGGTCAATTTGCATATTACCCTTTTATTCTATAGGATAGAGGCTTGGTGCATGGGTGGGGGCCAGCTGGTTTGCCCTGAAGGGTGTCCCAGATCAGGATGGGGGTCTCGCTGGGGTGCCTGGCCAGCCTGGGTGAGGGGCTGATGGCTGTTTGCAGGCTGGTCACACCCCCTTCAGGGTGGGGGTCCCCACTAGGGTGCCTGGCCATCCTGGGTGAGGGGCTGATGGCTGTTTGCAGGCTGGTCAATTCCCCCCTCCATGGGGACCCTCACCCCATGGAGGTTTGGCCAGCCTGGGTGAGGGGTTGATGGCTGTTTTCAGGCTGACCACCTTTAGGGTGGGGGGTCCCCACTGGGGAGCCTGGCCAGTCTGGGTGAGCGGCTGGGGACTGTTTTCAGGCTGGCCAAGTCCCCCCGGCGACAGAAGCTCCCAGCCTCTCCTTTTTTTTTTCTTTTTTTTATTCTGGGATTTATTTACCTTCTATAATTGAAACTTTATTGCCTGAGTAGAGCTCAGAGCCCCACGGGCAGGCGGGAAGCTTGGCTTTCTGCTCGCTCCAGCTCCGTGGCCACAGCTGGCTGAAAGCAGGTATCTGGGGTTTATTTACCTTCTATAATTGAAACTTTGTTGCTTTGAGTAGAGCTCAGAGCCGGCTGTGGCAGCTTGGCTTACTCCATCATTGGGGCAACTAAGCCTCCTGCTTGCTCCAGCTCCGTGGCTGCCAGCCGTCATCTTGGTTGGGTTAATTTGCATATAGTCGCTCTGATTGGCTGGTGGGCATGGCTTAAGGCATAGCGAAGGTACAGTCAATTTGCATGTTTGTCTTTTATTAGTGTAGAAGATAGGTAATATTCCATTGTATATATGTACCACAGCTTTTTTCTTATAAGATAAAGTTTATTTAGAATGTTACAGAGATAGTAGAAGTGAGCCAGCTGGGCTGTGTAGGCTCAGGAAACAAATTACAGAAGCAAAAGAAGGGCCCTTGGAGGTTAGGTAATGCACTAGCGGGGGGGCGGGGGGAGGACAGGGGAGATGGCGGATGCAGGCATACTCTGAGAGAGGAGAGAGGGAAAGAGCTGTACCACAATTTTTTTTTTATTCACTTGTCTATTGATGGGCCCTTGGGTTGCTTCCATAGTTTGGCTATTGTAAATAATGCTGCAATGAACATAGGGGTGCATTTTTCTTTTGGATTTGTGTTTTGGGTTTCTTCAGATAAATCCTCAGAAGTGGAATTACTGGGTCATAAGGCAGCTTCATTTTTAATCTTTTGCGGACACAAAAGTGGCTGCAGCAATCTGCATTCCCACCAACAGTGCACTAGGATTCCCTTTTCTTCACATCCTCACAAACAGTTGGCATTTGTGGATTTACTGAAAAATCCTAGAAGAAAACATAGGCAGTAGAATCTTGGACAGTTCCCTTAGCAATACTTTTTTTCAGATATATCTCTTCAGGCAAGGGAAACAAAAGAAAAATAAACAGATGGGATTACATCAAACTAAAAAGGTTTTGCACAGCAAAGGAAATCATCATAAAAATGAAGAGACAACCTACTAAATGAAGGAACATTTTTGCCAACGATATATCTGATATGGGGTTGATATCCAAA